ACACTTTGTATTTCAGGGTAAAAACATGCTGAACATCTTGTTCACTTTCCCAATTGGAAATTGCTGCATGCAAATTGTGTAGGGCACACATTTTGAGGGCGTAATTTGTTCTTGAATGGCTTTGAGAGAATTTTTAGGGTGGATTAGTGTAAGCAGACACGTGCAAGGGAGAGCAGAACAAGATTTTACTACAAATATAAAGAGGCACTATTATTCTGCAGAACAATATAACTGATGCTGCTTGACCAGTTGTGTTCAAGAGTCAGCAGTTTTTACAGCTTTTATTTTTGGGGGATGGTGCTATTTTTATTGACAGAGGCGGTAGAGAGGCGACAGAGAATTTGTGGGAAGAAAAGGGAAATGGGTACAGAAGCCCGACCTGGATCTCCCACAAGGACCATAGCTCAACTTGTCTGGAGCCTGTGTGCCATCACATACCTGTCAAAAGTTTGGAAGCATTATTTTATTTATATATATAATTGTAACTAACAAGAAAATACTATGGTAAACCAAGGTACTAGAGTTTGGGCTGGGCGGTATGACGATATATATCGTTACCAGGGTATAAAATGTCTATTGTTAGAGATTGTGCTATATCGTTTATACCGCAGTTATGTAAATAAATAGCACTATTGACACTTCAGTGTGATGAAATGCATGAATGAATTGCGAATTAGGGATGTGATCGATGTAAAAAAGTGTCAGCACAATAAGCAGTGAAAAAGATCTCAATGTGGTGCACACGCTGACTGACACACAGCTGAAGTGTGTGCACAGAAAACCACGTCTCTCAGTATACGATGTTTGAATGAATGAATAAAAACAGTTCTCTTTCACGTCTTATTGCGCTTGAATGGTCGAACACACACGCAATTATGTCAAAACGGCCATCGTGTGAAGTATTCATGTAAACGCAGCCAGTTATGTCTCAAGTGAAAGTAAAGAGTTGGCTGTAAACCGGATGCGTGTCAGTATAATGGATCCGAGCGTTTGGTCTTAAAGTGACAGCAGCCTAATAATACTTGCTTGCTCTGTGGCATTTAATGTGAATCAAACAAAAGAGAAAATAACTTACTGCTCTTGATTGAACAACTTTTTTTTTTAACAGCTTTAATAAGAACAAACTTCTATTTAATTCACACAGTGAAGACTATGCAATATTTTAGTTTTTACATTTGATTATTACATTTCTGTACTAATTCTAACTACACGTTAAATAAACCTATTGCACCTGAAAAACTTAATTAAATTCATATTTTTGTTCTATTGTATTTGACCTATTGTTTGTAATTTGCTTATTTTTTCTTATTTTTAATAACAGGAATGAGATAAAATAAAACAAAATAACTATATTGTGATATATACTGTATTGTTATCGTGAAATAAAATCTCTCATATCGTGAAATACGAACTTGGTCATATCGCTCACCCTTAAAATGAGTATAGTAATTATTCAGTACTATAGTATAGCCAATGCCAAAGTACCATTACTATGAGACATATATTTTTTTATAATTTGGATTTTATTTTTTAATATATTAAAAATTTAACAACCATATAACCATATTTTTTTTATAATGAATGGCACTTGATTTCATATTTTGCAATAATAATTCAGTGCATACATGTGTTGCTTTGCTGTTTAAATTCTGTTCAAAAAGTGTGGCTGTTATGAAGTCAAAAGCCATAAAACAGCAATGTTGAATAAGTTAATATGATGCACTATAAGACAAATACAAAATTAAACATTACATGGAATAACTTCACACATTATCCAATCCAATAAACAGCCGCATATGCTGTTATAAATACAAAGCGAGTGGCATTTGCTGTATTATTATGAGCAGGGAAGTGTGAAAATTATAGCCACAAAGCCTATTAGTCCAATGTATTAGAGGAAAGATAATCATAATAAGCACAAGTGCTTAAGGCGGTCAGTTCTTTGTTTTTTTGCTGGGGGAATAAAAGCTGTTTTTGAATGTGGTGGATTGTGTTTTTCTGAGACAGAATTTCCTGTTGGAGCCAATTGGGGTGGACAGATTATGATCTAGGTGGATTGAATCTGGCAGTGTGAGGGATTTGGATGTGACAATGGCTGGCAGAGATTTATTCAATGTATGGGAAGGTCAGAGCACGCAATTTTTTGCTGCTGTTCAAATTGACCCTTGAGTGGCCTGGCTTCCACTCTTGCACTTTTGTGCAGCAATAACAGACAGTGATAACACAGACAAAAGATAAAGCGATAAAGCTGCACATTCATTTACTCCACATACTGCACATGGTCTGCAAGGGTTTCACACAGCGGATGTGCATCTGTCGCCTTTATCAGGATGTTTCAGGTAAATTCATCCGAGACCTTTAGTGTTGAGCTTTCTGAAACATTTACCAGTTTCTCAGTGGTGTTCCATGAGAATTTCTCCAGGAAGGCTGACATGTTCATCAATGTCAATAAAAGACTGTATAGGTCAAGTGACTATATATATATTTACTATATATATATATATATATATATATATATATATATATATATATATTGTCAAGATCTTGGGTATGTTTTAGCTTACCTCAAGGGCATCCAAGATGTAGGTGTCTTTGTTTCCGCAGTAGTTTCAATTTTGATATTTTTAGGTCAAACCGTTCTTGTCTGTCAGTCATAATGCAGGTCTATGGTCACCACCTCAAAGAGCATGCACAGAGAAGTCCAAATTAAACATGATTTAATGACTCGTAAATGTAAGTACACATTGATGGCCTAAGACACGAAACGAGCGATTTGTGTGAGAAAACGAACAGTATTTATATAGTTTTTACCTCTTGTAACTACAGCCACGTCCAAGTGATCTGAGGGCGCGGGCGCGGGCGCTTCGGTCTGCGCAAGCGCCGGAAGTGATCTCTCGCGCGTGTACGTCACTCATTGTTTACACATAGATTTCGGAAGTGTTACCTTTCACTGTGAAGATCTAAACATATTTAGATATACAGGAAATCGCAATGGAAGACGATTTTGATATATCAACAGACAACGTTGAATTATTATTTATTTTTTTGAAGAGATCACTTCCGGCGCTTTCCGGCGCTTGCGCAGACCGAAGCGCCCGCGCCCTCAGATCACTTGGACGTGGCTATGGTTACAAGAGGTAAAAACTATATAAATACTGTTCGTTTTCTCACACAAACCGCTCGTTTCGTGTCTTAGGCCATCAATGTGTACTTACATTTACGAGTCATTAAATCATGTTTAATTTGGACTTCTCTGTGCATGCTCTTTGAGGTGGTGACCATAGACCTGCATTATATGACTGACAGACAAGAACGGTTTGACCTAAAAATATCAAAATTGAAACTACTGCGGAAACAAAGACACCTACATCTTGGATGCCCTTGAGGTAAGCTAAAACATACCAAAAAATAATTTCAAAGTGAACTATCCCTTTAAGAAATAAAAAGCTGCACACTCCATCAGTTAGGGTTGGAAGAACTGTTCCCAAACATATAACATGCTAGACACATAATGATCACTGTAATAATGATCCAATCATAGACTCTTAAACATTTGCCTATTTAAATTCAAACATCAATTTTTTTGGTCAGCTGTGTGTGTGTGTATTTACTAAATTTTTAATGTAAGTATATTTAAATTGAATTTTAATTTGATCACTTCAAGTGTTAAGTTATCATTTTGACTCAATGTCTTACCGCAGTCTCCTCTTAGAGACCATCACTGCAAATCCTACTTTTGCTAAATTTACATTTCTGTTTATGCCTTCCTATTCATGCTTTAGTCCCAGTGACACTCGGGGCAAAGTTGTCGCTGACAGTTCTGTTGATGTATTCATGCAATGGTTAAACTAGTTTTCTTGCTATTGTCAGCAAATGAAATGATAATGACATTATGGCTTGCAGTCGTAAGTGAAATGTTGAGAACATCTTGTGGTTGATATGTAGGTCTGTGTGTTAATGAAGTTATATTGGCCATTATCATGACTAGTCTTCTTCGATCACTTCTGTCAGGAAATCAGTATGCATTTGTATTTTCAGTTGATTTATGTACAAACACTAATATAATTGTCACCTATAGGGATTCAGCAGTGTGCGGGACAGGAAGATTTTGTTTTCTGCTTGTCAATTGGTGTGATTTACAAACTGGATGGTGTTTTAGTCACTCGAGGGGACGTGCAGTTAATGTGAGAGATCGCCAGTCTTTTAAGACTAAGTGCCATAGAGCAGTAATGATTTAAGACAGGATTCCTCAGCTTTTCTGATTCCCGTCGCTTTGGTGGCCATTTTGAAGCTGAGTGGTTTTAAAAAGGAGAGATGGAGATTAAACAGGACTCAGCTGTTCTGAGCTCAGTGAATCCCGGAAGCCTTGTGCATTTTTCAACCTCTGGCGCCCATATTTCCCTCACCAGATTGGCTGATCTCATTACTGGATCTAGGGCTACACTACCTGGGACATGGCAACAACACTAATATGTCCTAGTCTAGGTCTAGACAAAATATATATTGTATAAGGAAGATTGTAAATATTGCATTGTTGTTATTGTGCGTTTTTTGGCCATTAAAGGGGTCATATGATTTTTTGTTTTCCTTTTTCTTTAGTGTGTTATGTTACTGTTTGCGCATGTATAAGATCTGCAGAGCTACAAAGCTCAAAGTCTCAAACCCAAAGAGATATTCTTTGTAAAAGTTAAGGCTCAGCTACGCCTAAAACGCTTCGTTCAAACACGCCCCCATAAATCTACGTCAGTCTGTGGGGGCAGAGTTTCATAACACCGTTAGAAGTTAGAAGGCGTAACTTTTATTCCCGCTGTATTATTGTTGCCGCCGCCGCCGCCGCCATGTCGTGGAGACACTGTGTTTTTTGTTGTGAAAGCCAAACTACTTTGTTTGGCCTTCCAAAAGAGGACACAATTAGAAAACAGTGGTTAAGCTTTATTTACAACACTGTTCCAGGACAGTACAACCAAAATATTCGACTGTGTGCTGCGCATTTTTCGTAGGACTGTTTCCAGAACCTGGGAGAGTACAAGGCCGGCTGTGCACAAAGGCTGATTCTAAAAAGTGGGGCAATTCCATCTTTGCAAGTACATTCTGGCGCTTCTGACTCTCAGACACAGCCTGTAAGTATGTTTTCATATTTTAAGAATTTGATACTGACTATTCAAACGTGAGTTTTGAGCAGTATAGAGTAGCGCTTGTATGTCGTTTCTATGATCACAAATGCAGACATAGTTTTATGTTTACATAGTGTTCTCACCCCTGCATTGTGGCGCGACGCGTAAAAAGACCATTATAATCAGTAATTATGTCCCCAATGAAATAAAACCTTACCAATCTGATATGTTCTGGTCCAGTCGCGCTGGCAAAGTTGATCGATCAGCTTGGTCATCTGGATCAGATTCGGGCTTGAATTGATAAGGTAGTACCGACATTATCATCTGTCATTATTGCTTTGGGAGCTGATGTTCCAAATATGGTAAGGGGCGTGACATTTCCATCACACGCTTAAGGTATTTGGGCCAATCATACTGCACTGGATCGCTGGCCAATAAGAGCACACCGCGCTTTTCAGAACGATGAGCTTTGTAAAAATCAACGCGTTTCAGCAACAATAATGTACGGTATGTGTAAAATAATGACTTTTTTTAAAACCTAAAACCACATAAAGACATTGCATTAAACCAAATACACAAAATAATGTTCTTTTTAGAACCATCATATGACCCCTTTAAGTTTCCTAAAGATTGTGTCATTACTCCTTTTGTCATGACTTTTGAGTTTGAGATGCACCCTCACTCAAAAAATATGGACAAAAGTCCCTGTGTGGTATTTTTCATAAATGAAAATGTAAAAACATATGTAGGTAAATATCACTTTTAGTGTTATAAATAAATTTTAGGAGTAATTTTTTATATTTAAGGAGTATTATATTATATTATATTATATTATAATTGTTATATTATTAGTAATCAAAAAGGAAGTTATTAATTATCTTTTTTGTTAATAGTGTAAGAATTGGGTGAGAAAACATGACTTGATTATTTATTATTTATTTATTTTATTAATTTTTAAACTGTTTTAATTCATTTATTTTTAATCTAATTGACTGCAGTTGCTCCTTGATCCAAATGGTGGTTCCTCTGATTGAAAAAATAAATAAAATCTTATACATATTCATAGAAAATACATAAATATTGAGGTATATGTTTTGTAGGGCAGAAACCAGAAACAATGTATAAATAAAAAGGCTAATGTTTTATGTATTTGAGGAGTGAAGAAGAGAGTCTTAGTCTAGCATTTGTCGTCGAGTCATAGCCAATACTGTCTGAAATAGCCTGTGCGTTGCACCTTGTCTTTAATAACATGAGATTTTGGCCAAAATTACAGAAAAAACTGATGCCCACATAACCACAGTAACCTTTATTACTAGTAAGTTAATAAAAACATAATGCAATACACTTACTGCCTCAGAAACTGCCAACAGTTACGATATATATAGTATACCGTCAAGTATTGGTAGAAAATATTGAAATATAATTGTTTTAGCTTAATCACCCAGTCCTTACCTTGTCCTCGTTTGTACTTTTTTGGTTCGTTTTTAAAGTATTGTGCAGAATGTGATCTTTCATTCTGTTTCTCTGGTTGTTGACTTGCATATGATGTAATTTTATCATGTGAACAAAAACGATTGATACAGTACAGTATTTGATGTATTGTGTGCACAAAGGCCAACATATGTTTTTTGACTGCACTGCAGTTAGTTGTTTCACATCATTGATCTAGTGGTTTTTCAACGTCAAACACAACTCACCATTTCTTTCTCTTTTTTTTTTGGAGAGTAGAACAATCATACAATAATTCTTTCTCAAAATGACCTGAAGAAGAGGAGATGGTTTTCTGCAGATTTAACAGTAATGATGGGGTCTACGTTTGGAAATTTGGAGCTTTGCTGACATCTCCTTTTTGCTTCAAGCCACATAGTAAGGATGTTAATGGCCATTCTCCCCTGCATAATGTCTCACAGACCTTTATATTTAATGCATTGCTCATTACGACGGTCCTGCTCTGCTGCATGCTTTCTGTCAACCACCCACTGACTGCTATTATAGATTCCCTGTAGTGTTGCAGTCAAGTTTTTCCATAACTTCCCCAAACCTGTGCTGTCAATAGTGGCTACGAAACAAGGCATTTACAGATCTACTTCATCTATTTTAGCCTCTTGTAAACTTAAGACTAAAACCTGGCCAAAACCCAGTGCAGACCAACTTTACACTGACCACGTATACATCAATTGACTTATTGGAATGTGACACCTAGTAAAATTACCACAACCTTCATCATTTGAATCGACTGAAGGAAAAAGAATCAGACTAATGTCTCCCTTAATGTTTGAAGTAATTATTTCTGCAAGCAGACATTGCCGTAGAAGTTCCTGTGGGCAGACATATATTTTGCAACACTCTGTATGATTGATGGCTTTAGGGCAGGAAAGGATTTCTTTAAAAGAAATCATATCATCAGGTCTACTTTCTGCATGCAAAATAACGGGAGCAATCTGAAAACTATTGGTCCGGTTACACAGACATGGCTTAGGGTGTATTCACACCAGCCTTGTTTGGTTCGATTGAATCGAACTCTAGTTCGTTTCCCCCCTTGTTGCGGACCTTTTGGGCAGGTGTGAATACAGCAATCGCACTCGGGTGCGGACCAAACAACCGAACCGAGACCCAGCTGAAGAGGTGGTCTCGGTACGGTTCCAAACGAACTCTGGTACGGTTCGTTTACGGTTCAAATAGGGCAGTTAGGTAGCTTTTATAAACGTGCTGGTGTACATCTTGAGACAAAACAATGGTATGATATGTCAGTGCAAGTTGCTTTCAGTTAAAACAGCTCAAACACGCATTTTAGTCTGGGACTAGGCTTAAGCCATGTCTGTGAAATTGTTATATAGATTTTTTTTTTTTTTTTTGCCATTGGTGACGCTATATGAAACCTAATCTTGGCTCACAGTTTGAGAGAGATTGCAGGTCTTCATTCAAGTTGCTAGGAGAAGTGCCTTCTTAGTACTGCATTGCTTTTTCTCTTAACTCTTGTCTTCTCTGGTCATCGTTGAAAATTTGTTGTGGAAACATTGTTTTGGTTTCCTAGCAACCATAAAGCCTTTTCAGTAAACCATTCTGTGACCATTAATAGGATTTTTACCATCCAACAAAACAGACATGTTAAATGGCCCACATGTGAAGTGATTGGTCTAGTTGTGTATATGAGGCATAGTAGAATGCAAACAGTGAGAAGTTCTGTTTCACACTCTAAGGGTGCTTTCACACCTGGATCGATTGGAGACGTTGTTCCGAAACAAAGGGGCGTTTCCCTTTTGGCCTGGTTCGTTTGGTCATATGTGAACACAACAATCGCACTCTGAATCGGAACAAAACAACCGAGCCGAGACCGCCTAGAGATGTGTTCTTCCGACCAAATATCTATGAGGCATTTCACCTCTTCGTAGCACCAAGTCAACCCGCGATTCATTTTGTGTTAGGCTACTGTTGTCATGACGATGTCCCACAATGGAATGCGCGACCTGCACGCATGAGGTAGTGACGTAATGGCGTAAGGAAAGCCCTGGAAGGGCGCGCGATTTGGACCGCTTTACAACAGTGTGGTGTGAACAGAGTGACGTATTAGGCTACATTGATTCGGAACAAAGTATTCTGTTTCGGATCTGTTCCGGAACAAAACAAATCGATCCAGGTGTGAAAGCACCCTAAAATTATAAACTTCAAAAGCTGGCTGACAAAAGATCACCAAAGCAATTGAATAGAAATAGTATCTTCATGTCACCAGAATCTGTTCAATCTGATCATGAGCACCATGGCCCAAAATCTGGACCATGTGCTAGGCGAACCAGTGGCATTATTTCACCCCAGCCCACCTTTACTTTTACTGTGCATTTGTGTTGACATAACATCCTTGAGTTTGTGCATGTGGCTTGGGATTTCTGATGGCTTTTAAAAGGCTGTTTTCGGTGCCGCTCTGACCCGGGGTCGTCCTGGTGTGATGCCACCTGCAGGAGGCGCAAATGGATTTGACCTCTGCGGAGAGCTGGCCATCGACTAACAGGGATTTTAGAATCATACACATCATACGTGGAAAGCCAGAAATGAGTGGCCAAATTATTACACTCAGACACACACACACACACACACACACACACAAATTGTTTCATACTTCACAACTGCTTTGGCAGCTGTCAAGTCACATCGTATAAAGTGAGATGGAATCCATTATGGACAATCTAATTAGTTTCTGCACTGTGAAGCCCTAACCGGCTGTGTCATTTTAAATGCTCAGCACATGCCAGGGTTCAAAACGCGTGCCATTCAGAGGGTTTTGTGCTCAAATTACCGGCTAATTCTTGAAGGTCCCCATTTTAAAGCGAAGTGCATTTCGTGATGGTGATCGTAAGTGTGTGAAAGCTTCGATATTGAATGTCTGCGCATAATACGGTGAATTTTAAAACGATTTTGATTAACGGTATCTTTCTGGTTTGTATTTTTAAAAATGCGACTTGAAAACATTTTGTCTGACCCTTACAATTCTGTAAGGTTTTATGGAAAAATATCACAAATTGTTTCAGCGAGACATTTTCTCCCAGTAGAATTTCCTGGGAGGCTCTAAATGTGGCTTTCTGTGGAAAAATGCCTCTCTGTAACAGAAATAAATTACCATTATTAACTACCTCAAACTGTGATACAATTTTTCCTTTTTTCTTTCTCGGTTGCTGAATTTTAACACTAAAATCTTGCCTCACCTTTGAAATTTTGTGGCCTCTTGTATTATATTATAGCATATAAATGACCATACTGAAATACTATGATAATGTTTCTTATTCAACAGAGCCACTGTTTAAGTAGCAGTCTGAACTGAAAGTGGTAATAGAGAAAGACAATTAACAGACAACACAGTTACTTTAAAGGGATAGTTTACCCCAGAATAAAAATTCATCATTTACTCACCTTCATGTCGTTGAGGTACTAATATTCACTAATAAAGATAGGTAACCCTAGTGAAAAATAAGTACTAAAATGTATTTGAAATACATTTATTTTATGCTAAGTAT